TACAGATCGAATCCCTACATCTGCACATTCCTACGATAGACAAGCAACAACGAACAAAACACAGCTCACGGGTTCAAACACTCAGGGATCAACTCGATACTGTACACAGGCAAGGTGAGGTCTAGGGATCGAGGCCTGGGATCTGCATTAGCTACTGCTAACAGTTGAAAACCGTTTCAATATGCCCTGACTAACACCTATCGAAGAGGCCTGGGAAGAGACCTGGGACCTTGCAGAAACGGTACCCTTCGCTGCCACGGTCTTGGTTCTAACGTGCGCTGCTGCTACGACTGCTAGTGCCATCAGCGCGTTGGCTGCTGCCACCTGTATCTTCTGCGAGACCCTACTCTCCTCAGCTGCTCTTCGCTGTTTCCTTTCCTCGACTTGTCTTAAACGCCAAGCAAGTGGTCGGCCGACGAAGTGCCTGTCCACGGGCAATCCTCCCCTCATCCTAGTCTATGTGTCTCAACCTCCTTGTCATCTTCACCCCAAAGCTACATGTGATATGCAATCTGAACTAGTGTCCTCACTGGGACCTACCGCAGCGTGGCACCCCAACCTCTTAATAAATAGAATTAAATATACGGTCCAAATTTATCAGGAAGCAGTCGAGCGGTAACCGCAGATAGTTTTAGACCCCTGCAAATAATTCTACTCCTATTTTTAACTAGTCTGAAACAGATGCTTGCAGCAATAATAGACAATACTCTATCTACAACAGTCTGTTAGCTGTTAGCAGTCCGTCACAGCTAACTAATCAAAAATAAAAATAAAATCGTTTGTTGAAATGCATGCTGAATGGAAATATTACTATATTGAACAATCGAGCAATTCCTAGAATTTTCCATCCCCCTATATCTCCCTCTTGCAATCAGACTCGTTTTCAAACACACTTTTCACACATGTAAACAGTAACACAGCATACTGGCGACATGCGCCCACTCAAAACTCAGAGATATGGTTTTCAGATACGAGTTCACTCCCAATTGGCTATGGCGACCTCAGCTCCCAAACATCTCACTGTTCACATACACTGGATCACCCTGGATATCCCACACGCATCACTCTAACACACGAGCACACACACACACTCACTACTAACTACAGCTATGGCAGCTATGGCTGCCTCTAACCTATCGCTATGTTAACTCCTCCTCTCTTGCCCACTGCGACCTCCGGGCTCATCTGCAGACCTCCTTGCACAAGTCGCTGTGGCAGCGCTTCCGCATGGCTCACGCAGGAATGAATGAATGGCTGGGCGCTGCCTCCTGATTTATACTTCAGAAATTCGTTGGTCTGCCCTTT